GATAGTAGGTGGAGGGCAGGARCTAGGGGAGGGAGGGAGATTCCACTGGTGCCCCCTGGTGGTTCTCCCCCCAGTACCCGACGGTGCTGCAGGTTAGGAGTGAAGGGTAAAGTTAGATTGGGGACGCTGGACCCGGTTTCCAGCCCAAGGGCGTCTCTCTCAAGGATGTACTGTTTTGTACTGTTTTGTACAGATGTATTCATGGGACGCTGGGCCCGGTTCCCAGCAGGTGAGGCTCCCCACCAATAGAAGGAGTGGCCCACCAGGCAAGCCTCAATCCCGGTGGTTCTCTTACCACCACCAGGATAGAGGCCTTGTATAAGGGCCTTGCTTAAAAAAAAAAAAAAAAAGGTCTATGGCCCCAACTGTTTTTTTCCGCAACTCCCTCAGATGGATGGTCTGCTCACTCCTAACTTTCGCATTCTATGCATTCCTCATCATCATCATCCAACAAGGATCCGAGTCCTAGCTCCAACCCTGTGAATGGAAATTACCTTTTGAATTGGGTCCTTTTTTTTTCAACCCCCTTTTTTTTGGGATATGAGGGTATGAATGGCATATAAACCATTGAAGGGTGCTCTGGCTCAAGAGGGATGCATATAAGACTGGATGCAGCCTTGAATCCTATGGCCTGAACAGTCGTACCGCAATTTACTGTGGGGTTCGTGACGTATTATGTCATGGGTAACGTAGGGCAACACACACACACACACACACACACACACACACACGTGTAGTAGTGTATATTTCGATGTTCTAGCGGAAGATCAAGCGATCAATCAGTTAATCAATCAATCCTCGATTGATTGATTGACTGGGACTCCTCCTCCACGGCTTCCTCTTGGCTTCACCTCCCCGACGACACCCCAACCCTGCCCGACCCTCGACAGACTTTCCCCAATACATCTCCTCCGCATAGATCGACCTTAGTCACTCTTCATTAACTTATTGATTGATTGATTGATTGATTGATTGAATAACGGCAATGGACAAATCGAAAAGGAAAGCGAAATAGAAAGCAAAAAAAAAAAGTTGTTCCTCTTCCTCCAACGACCTTCTCCCTCTTGCTCCCTCCCTTCAACTCACCTGTCCCCTCATCCCCCCCTCCCGCTCCTCCCTCCACTCTCCTCAGCGCACCTCCATTGCCCTCTGCCTCTTCCCCAACCACTCTTGTCCCCTGTCCCGAACCTCCTTTACCGTCGCCCCACCCTCCCCAACCCATGCCAGACCGTCCCCGATACTTCTCCTCCTCCTCCTCTGGGTCCAGTCTCCTTCTCCATCGATCAATCAATCAATCAATCAATCAATCAATAAAGATCGACCTTGGTCGAGATCGATTCATTGATTGATTGATGATTGATTGATGATTGATCGATTAACTGTAACGGACTCAAAACAAAAAGGAGAACCAAAGACGAAACAAAGAAGGAACGCCGCGAAAATTAAAAAACAAAGGAAAAAAAAGTGAGACGCAAAACGAAGAAGAAAACGAGACAGGAATGCAAAAAAAAAAAGATTTTTTTAGCCACCTCCTCCCTCCACCTCCCTCCCTTCCACTTGCCTTTTCCCTCCTCCTCCTCCTCGCCTTTATCCTCCTCTCCTCTTCGGCTTTCTCGTTCGCCTCCTCCTCATCCTTCTCCTCCTTCCCCTAGACTGCTTTCTCCTCCTTCCCCTCCTCTTCGGCTTTCTCGTCCGCCTTTTCTTCTTCTTCTTCTTCTTCTTCTTCTTCTTCTTGTTGCTCATCCCATTCTCCTCCCACTCCTCCCTCCTCCCTCGTCCTACTTCCCCCCATCCACCTCCCTTCTCCCCGTTCCGCGTACGCCCCCTTTGCCCAACCCCCCTCCACGCGCCTCCCTTCCGCCCACCTCCACAGTCGCGGGGTTGGAGACTTACCTGTTGGCCGCTCTCTCTCTCTCTCTCTCTCTCTCTCTC